CGCACCCCAGCCCGGGCCTCAGCGCCTCTTCCCGACCGCCCAGCCGGCGACCCCCGGGGCAGCGACCTGGGCCCGTGGGTGAGTTCCCGGGAAATGGGGGCGCCTCTCTTCCCGCCACCGCTGAACTCAGTTTCCATCAGAAGGGGAGTCCTTGTGGAGCCCCGCAGTGGCGCAGCGTTTCAGTGTCAGTGCTGTGAAGCTGCTGCCGGCCACTGTGGCCCGAGGCCACCCCAGACAGGGGGGCGAACCCCAGGGCGCGGCAGGCCCCTCCTGTCGCCCCTCTGCTCCCCGCAGCAGTGTCTCAGTAGATCCCCCTGTCCCGCTCCCCACTCTGTCTCTGAGGAATCCTCTCACCCACCGCCACTGGCCTGTGCCCCCGTCTGTGTGCATAAATCATGAATCTTTAAAAAAAGATAAATACTTGTAGGAGTGAGCTTACTTTCTCCCTTGTCATTTCCAGTAAATTGATTTGTGAAATATAAATATGATACCTGTGTGTAAGGGCAGATAGTATAAACATGGCATTTGGAATTACCAGAGGAAGTCCCACTAACGGGGTGAGCAGAAGACCTCCCGCATCATAGTATTTCTCCCCAGTAGACACATGTGACAGTCCTTATAATTATTTCCCTTGACCTTCATGACGGTTCATCTGTGTGCCACCTGAATTTAATTTTGTGAAATATTTAAAATTTTAATCATAGGTTGATTTTGTCTCTTGACTCTTTGCCTCAAGATGACCCACCTGTTGGAGAGTGAGCAGGGCCTCAGGCCGTCCAGTGTGCAGGCTGTTCCCCGTGATGCACAGTAACTTCTCCATTCGATTATTTCATTAGTATTTTCTATCTTTGCTGAAATAACACGGTATCTATAATTTTATATCTTTCTTTCTTCACTTAACATGGTAAGTATTTTCAAGTCATTTAAAAGTTATCAGAATTGATGTGCCTCACCGCTATATTTCTTTCATGTATATATTGTAATATATTTGACTGTTTCCTGGAATTTTCATTAAGGTTGTTTTCAAGTGTTTGTTAACATAAGAAAATGTGGGTTAGCATTTTTACAAAACAGCATTGTTCAAAACAGTTCTTTAGGTCATCTCCCCCCAAACTGAATTACTATTTCTTTTAATAATACATACATACAGTTATATATTGTAAATTCTAATATCAAACCAAAGTGCCCTGCAGAACGGCACTACAGATTTATTCTTTGAGAAAAGGAGAATCCCTATTGCAGCCGTCCTTCCCACCATTTCGGTCTGTCGTCCAACTGTAACAGGGGGGTCCCTAGGAAAAAGGGAAGTTCCAGGTTCCCTGCCCCACCCAGAAGGAGGGTGGAGCTGAGCAGAGAAACAGGAGAGAAGAGAAGGGAGAAGAGACTGAAGCAGGATGGAGAAGGAGGAGCCCTGAGGAAGCCACCGGGAGCAGCGAGCCTGTGAGGAAGAAACCGGGCTTGTGTCCTGACCCTGGACTGGCTAAGGCAGATGTGGGGGAGAGGCCCGTGGGCAGGTGGCTGTGGCCCTGTTTATATTGATTCTGACGTTGCTCTTTTCCTCCCAGACTCGTCTGGCCATGTCTGACCCTTTCCCATGGGTCCCGGCCAGCAGGTGCTTGAGTCTAGTGGCCGCTTTCAGGCCTTGCTCTGGGCCGATCCCTTTTGGGTGGACTTTTGCCCACAAGGGGACGGGTCACTTCAGGGGTTTGATTTAGAAGTTCTATTCTTTGTGTTCCGTATAGTATATCTACTGTATTAAAGTCCCTTTTCATTAAAGTTTTGTGTTTTGTCTTGATGCGGCGGATGGCAGAACCCACTTAGAGCAGGCAGGTTTTGGGGCTTCAGGGGTGTCCCTCTCCCCCTGTCTACAGATTTGTTGTCCTCTAACACAACCTTCTCCAAGCTTCTGGCTTTACAGCCCCTCATTTCCTGCTCTACCCGTGCACGGGGAGTCCTTCACCGCCCCCATCGCGACTGGGAGGGCTCCTTTGCCCAGCCTTGCCCGTCTGACACCGCCTCTGGCCGCGGCCAGCCCTGCGCCTCCC